CCCAACGACTCTACAAACCACGTTTTGTCACGAAAACACACGTGAGAATTGGAACGGGAATGACGCGAAACAACACGTGAAACAGGAGTTGTTTATTTGAAAATGGATGTCGGGAAGAAATTAGTGCTGCAAGCTGTTTGCTCGATGAAAAATTTTGCTCCAAACTTTTCTTTAAGCCATGTTGCTCCTGTTGTTTTTCTTCCGGTGACCTCAACCCATGCCTTGCTCTATCATTGGCTGTAGCGCGTCACGACACCTGACACCACGTGATTTCGAGTCGGCCAACTGATCCAGATATTTGGCATGCTAGATATTTGTTTGCCGTAGGCAAAGCCTCTTTCTGCTGCCGTCAGCGAGCCTCTTTGATGCGTCGTTGTGTAGTTCACACATAAAGATTGACGAGCGCCGATCACCTGCTGATTTTCCCCCGATCACAGCCCGACCTGTCGGCGAGCTCGTTAACTTGCAAATCGGGCTTAAAATCCTGTAGTGTGAACTAGGCTTTACTGATCACGTCTCTTGTGCGGTGGGATGTTGGACTCATGAAAAATAATCACTTTGTTTGTATTCACCAAAACTGATTTACTGAAGTGAAAACACGGACGGAATTGGCGTTAGTGCGAGCGGCACTTACTGTAAGAGGGGAGCGACCAGCCGGCAGAGGATTCCGCAGCCTTCCTCGAACAGTTATGTTCACGATTTCTGATTTACTTAACGTATACTGTGTGAGGGGGACTGTGATTGGATGATGACAAGTATCGGTGATCATTCTCAAGTGATCAGCACTGTAAAAATTAAAAAGTAATTTCATATTTACTACATATTAATAAAAAATCTGAAAATAAAAATGAAAAATCCATAATAATAAAAAAAATAATTAAAGGGATAGTTCACTCAAAAAATTAAAAAAAGAAAACATTTTGAAAGCTAGTTTTTGTAATCTATATTTAATGCTCTATTCATGTAACACAATAATGGCTTTAAATTATCTTTTGTTGGTAATTTCTCAACCAGATTTGATGTGCAATTAATATGTGATTTAGATTAATTTAATCACCACATTTTGTAATTAATTAGATTTTTTTTTTATTGATTGACAGCCTTAACATTTCATAAATAGTATGTTACATTGTTGTCACATCTCATCTTATGTTTAATTTAGAAAGTGGTGTCCATTTATTATCACAGAAATAATCACTGTTGGGGAGTAACTAGGTAGGCTACATGTAACTAAATTACAAAATAAATGTAACTGTGATCTGTTACAGTTACTGAGAAAAATGTGTAATTAAATTACAGTTACTTATGAAATGTTAATGATTACAAAGGGGGTTACATCTGAATATTTTCACACACATACAGATTTAAAATATGAGACACCAATGTTTCAGGAGTTGAGGACACAGAATAGGACACATGATTATTCGATACGTTTTATTTTCTATTTTGGTTTGTATGATTTTTGTTTATTTGTTTGTTTGTTTTTTAAGATTAACTGTTTTTTTTTTCCAAGGAATTGTTAGATGCCAGTGTTTCCTGTCATAACTATGCAAAGACATGATTTCAAAAACAGTATCATAACTATTAAACTATATCTTATGATTTTAAATCTGTATTTAACCTCAAAAAGATCTCAAAGTAAAAAGAGGTGCTAAAGTCCGATTTTGAGGTGGCTGTGCTTTACAATTAAATTGTTATAATCTTAATTCAAGTGAAGAAGGATTCTGAAAGTCTGACAGTAATCAGTGTTGAGTACAACTGTAAGGTTAATCCTGCCTGCTTTAAATGTTTGAAAATGATTAACAGTTGAAAATTTTAGAAAAGTAATCAAATGTAATCAGTTACATTACTTTCATAAAGTAATTGAAATAGTTACACTACATATTACATTTTAAATAGGGTAAGTTGTAATCTGTAACCTATTACATTTCCAAAGTAACCTTCCCAACACTGGAAATAATTATATTTCTAGTTCCATGGAGTGTGTTACATTTACAATGTGGCATACTGTCTTACAGTATATAGTGTGTCCAGACTGTTTGCTTCATAAAATTGTAGTAAGCTAATCTTAACATGCCGTACAGTTACTGTCACTGTCAGTAACATGTCGGTTACTGACTCTGTAGGCACGCTAAACACTAAAGCAACTTATGTTTAAAAATGTCTTTAGGATAAATAAGTCAGATGATGAGTACAGAAGGCTCTTCAAATCCATAAACCGGTAAGTAAAGTCTTTTATAATTATAGCAGTGATTACAATAAGGGATTTGTGACACCTTTTCTCTGACTCTAGAGTCCTTTTTCCTGGAGGTGGAGTCAGTATAGAATCATCCGGCTATTCCAAAGCAGCTGGCATTTTCTACAGACTTGCTCTTGAGGTTTGTGTACTAATAGTCCATTTGGTAAATATGTTCAGCATAACAATAAATCCAAAGTACATTTTTTAAACATTAAGCAGCACCTTTAAATATTGATAGTAAGGTAAAATAGAAATGTTAAATTTGTAGACATTTTTAAATAAAATGCTATTTTAAATGAAGCTGCAGAGGTCAGACTGTGGGTTTATAGTCAATTCTGTGATTTGTGTTTATGAGCTATAAAAGAGGTCTGGCAAAACGTTAACCCCTGAGCAATGAAGAAAAATCATTAAGAGTCATAATGATCTTCATTTTACAAACATATACACTGCATTTTGTTGTTTGGTGCTCCTTTTATTCAATACAATTTGTTGGTGCAATTTAATTTTCCAAACAATTTTTCCAATTTATTTAATACAAATTAAATAATGTATTACATAAAATGAGTATTTGTGTGTGTGTGTGTGTGTGTGTGTGTGTTAACAGGCCAATTCAAATGGTGATTATTTCCCTATATGGGGAACCTGTTTAGGATTTGAACTGCTCACATTGCTAACAAGTGGGAAGTTGCTGTTGTCCCATACCAACACTAGTGGTATCGCCTTGCCACTGAACTTCACAGACGGTAAAGCCATGTTTACATAACATTTAACTGAAAAATCAAATATATTTACATAATGGTTAAGGCAAGTACATTGTCAGCTTACTTCCAGTATTTTTTTTTAACTAAATTTTTAACTAAATTTAATTTAAACTAGTGATTAAATTAACATTATAAAAATAAAAAATAAAAGATTAACAAATTAGTGTTACATTTTGTTAAACTTTTAATTTAAAGGTCCCATGACATGCTGCTTTTTGGATGCTTTTATATAGGCCTAAGTGGTCCCTAGTACTGTATCTGAAGTCTCTTTCCCGAAATTCAGCCTTGGTGCAGAATTTCAGCCACTACGAGCCAGTCCCACAATGAGCTTTCCTTAGGACGTGCCATTTCTGTGTCTGTAGCTTTAAATGCTAATGAGGAGGAGAGAGGCGAGGCAACTGCCATGTTTCGCTCGTTTGCAAGCCATGATGTCTCTTGAGGAAAAAAAAATATTGCGCTCGCCTCGCACGGTAGTAGCTCATTTTCTCATGGGCGGGCCAAATTCTCTGGGCAGGCAAAGCAGAGAAAGGGGAGGTAACCTTTCCCCGTATGACGACATAAAGGGAAGATTCCAGATTGGGCCATCTGAGCTTTAATTTTCTCAAAGGCAAAGCAGGATACCCAGGGCTCGGTTTACACCTATCGCCATTTCTAGCCACTGGGGGACCATAGGCAGGCTAGGGGAACTCATATTAATGTTAAAAAACCTCATAAAGTGAAATTTTCATGCCATGGGACCTTTAATAATTATTTTCAAATAGTGAACTTTTCTGCATTGTGTGCTTTACTGGTAACCAGTTGTACACAACAGGAAAAGAATACACCTTCATATCTTAGAAAACAGTGTCTAATACATGTATTGATTGTTTGGAATGTATTCACTGAATGTAGTAATAGTTTATCACTTTACAGTATCACCAGACATTATTTATTACACAGTATACACGTCAATGCACAACCTAAACATGTCTGAGATAGAAATTTGGTCAAATAGAGGTGACTCTCACAGGAAAATATATTCAATACTGCAATATTCATATGATGGATGGCAATGTTAATTTTAGAGGGTTATTTTAAAACGGCAATGTAAAAGAAAGAAAGAAAGAAAAAATAACATCACATTTAATTTATATTTTTGTTTTCGCTGCATGAAAAAAAACGAGGCATTTCCAAACTTTTAAATCTAGAACTTTACCAAGAGTGAGACCCTGAAAAGTTTCTACAGAGTTTTAAGTACCAACACAGATGGACAAAATGAGTTTGTGTCAACAATGGAAGGTGAGTGATGATAATCAGATGGGTAGATAGAGGAAGCATATAGACTGTGATTTTCACCTCTCTCTCGAGCACCATTGTCATTTACTGTTTCTATGCATATCCACAGCATATAATTTCCCTATCTATGCTACTCAATGGCATCCAGAGAAAAATGCTTTTGAGTGGACAAGGCCCTATATTCCCCACATGCCTTCAGTCATTAAGACCACATTCTACATGGCTTACTTTTTTTGTGAATGAAGGTATGGTTAATAATACTACTACTGAGCAACATACAATGTGTTTTTACTAGCTGTTGATTAAATTTTATTCCTTTATTGCAGTGAATTATCAAATAAAAAAGTTAGACCTTCACGTACTAACTTTTCTCCTTATTTATTTTGTTGCTTTTACAGCGAGGAAAAGTTTTCATAGCTTTCCTAGTACAGAGGAAGAGGAGAAAGCTTTGATCTATAACTACAAACCTGAATACACTGGAACCCAAAGTGCATTTGAACAAAAATATTTTTTTTTGATTAGGATAATTCTTTAAATGTACTCGTGTCTTTATTAGCGTTTTTTATTTTCTTTTTAATTATCTCATTTAATTTTCAGTTTGGAACTTCACATACTGCACGTGACATGAAAATGATCAAATCAAACGGAATTATAATTGAGATAAATTATTATTATTGCTCTTTTCAGATGTATCAAAATTTAATACTTTCCAAACAATACAAAGAACAAACATTTTGGCATGATGAAATTATGAAAACAAACATGTATACAAAAATCAATTAGAATTTGTAGTGTTAATAAAATGTGTGTGCTTGCTATGTATCTGAACAAAACATATCCACATCACATTTCACCAAAAAAAAAAAAAAATTTAGTCAAATTTCTTTTGTTTGATGACCTGGACATGTTCTTGGCAGGTCTCCCAAGTACACATGACCTTAATAGAATAGTTTCCAAGGTTGGAAAAGGCATAAAGTGATTTTTTTCCCCCTTTTTTATGGCTGTGCTCACATCTCTTATAGCTAACACATCTGCTCATTTATGTATTCACCTGGACACACATATACAAAGTAACCCACAACATACAGTGCAATGTTCAATCATATATCTATAAAAAGTGACCGAGGTCTCCTTTTTTCAGTAAGATAGAGCAAATGCATCTCATTGTACTGTTATTTCACTAAAGGTAACCTTTCAATCTAATTTAAGATATAAATCTCAAAATGTACGTTTTAATCCTTATTATTTCTTTAATTTTACTGTTGAGCCCTCAAAACATCCTTCTGAAACATGATTTTAAATCATATATGCTTTAACTGATTAAGATCTTGAATATTAGGTGAAATGTCCTTTTAAAACCCTTGAACTTCTAAATCCATCCTTTATGTTCTTCAAAAATCACATATTACTTACAACTATCAATCATAAGACTTATATATTCACATTGCCTTGTAATCTGCACCACAGGACAGCACAATTTATATTTGTGATTTATGAAATCTGTGATTGGCTTAGAACAGTAAATCTTTCACTCCGATTGGCTGTCGACCTACTTTTCAAAACTCAAGTTTTTGGATAAATCTTCTATATTGGTGACAGAGTCTGCCTCTGTAATTGGGTGAGTTGTGGGTGCCAGACATCCACAATGAAGATGAGTCTGTAGCTTTCTGCTTCCTGCCAGACTTCATGCTCGAATGAGTCGTCAAATATTAACACTTTTCCTTCTTCCCACTCCCTGAAAGAGAATCAACATTCACTGAATCAATTTTTTATTAATAAAAGCCATGCCACATATTAATCCCCAATCAATCAATCAATCAATCAATCAATCAATCAATCAATCAATATAAAATAGGCCAACTATCCAAGGTTCGTCTACTCGCCAATTGTTATTCACATTTGATGCTTGCCAAGTGTTCATTTAAAGGGGTCATATGACGTTGCTAAAAAGAACATTATGTTGTGTATTTGGTCTAATGCAATGTGTTTATGCGGTTTAAGGTTAAAAAAAACACATTATTTTCCACATAATGTACATTATTGTTGCTCCTCTATGCCCCACCTTTCTGAAAAGCGTCAATTTTTACAAAGCTCATCGTTCTGAAAAGCGAGGTGTATGCTGATTGGCCAGCTAACCAGTGCGTTGTGATTGGCCGAATTCCTCAAGCATGTGACGGAAATGTTACGCCCCTTACCATACTGTGATGCTGTGCCCCGGCACGATGAGACAACACCAATATAACCCATTACAAACGAGGCATTTGTTGCATCCAGTGGGGACATAATTACTGATTATAATGACTATACTGTCTTTTTACACGTTGCGTTGCAAATCACGCCGCATAAACATAAAACCATGTCTGCATTTGTGATCGGAGAAACAATTTTCATCGTGTCCATTTTTGGAAGGCCAAACAAAGTAGTTTCGCTTTCACAACGTAACACAGTGTCACACACGGCGGCCTTGAGTGAGCGGCGGCCGGCGGATTCGACGAAGGAGCGGCCGGCTGGCTTGCGGCAACCACATGTGACGACCCCGGGCTGGACTCCGCTTCGTCCACGGTGAAAGCGATCCACAGCGCGAAGTTGATGTATTTCCTCAGTGACCAGCACAAGGAAACATGCTCTAGGCATGACGAAGCGGATATCGTCCTCTTTTGGAAGGCCAAACAAAGTAGTTTCGCTTTCACAACGAAACGCACAGCGTCTCCACGACATGGCGGTGGCGGCAACAACAATACTACAGCGAGAATAAAAGTTACACCTTCTTTCTTTGCGTGTACATTTGGGCGGTGTTATACAAATCTTCCCACGCTCCAAAGAGAAAGGAAAATTTGAAATTGCATCATATGACCCCTTTAAAACCCTGTAACCAAGTTGGAGTGGAAATGGAGCTGTCAACAGTGTTCCCTGAAACATTTTTAAAGTTTTGTAATCGATGCAGTTTTACTCAATGAGTGTAAACTTGTGTTTCTATGATTTAACTGACCTTGTTTGGTTTGTACAGCGAATCCTGCATCCCTTAGAAGGGATGACGAGGCCTAGATGCATTCGTAGACGACAGTTGGTGGGACCAGTGTGAGGCCATACATGAGTACCAGCTTGCATTACTGAAAATTTTATCTAAAAAAGGAAGATTTAAATTATTAGGCAACAGTTAATAAACAGAAATAAGCATTGTAAAAAGGAGACATGTTGAAACTAAATTAAAAGTACAGCTAGGAAAGAGGGTAAAACTTAGCTATAACTGATTTCTGGGGACTGACCTGGCCTCTTTTGCAGCTAGTGGCCTCTGGGTAATGTTCCAGCAAAGCACAGGTTTTTGGGACATAGCGACATGAAGAAGCAACCTTTCGACCTGAGAAAGTGTAAAACTTGTATACACATTATGTGTCTTCCCCAAAAGTGTCTCAATATTAGATATAAAAAAACGCTGTAACACCACCTAAGACTAGCAAATTCAAAGAAATGCACACTAAGTGGCTAAAGGAAGTGACTCTGTTTTCACTTGTAGTTGAAAAACCATGTGGATTACACGTAAAATTATTTTCTCAATTAAAAAAATGTTGTGCTATTTATTTATTTTTTTGCTATTTTCTGAATTAAGTTGCAATCACATTAGCTTAATTGCAGAGAAATTTCACAATCAAAAAAGGTTAATTGTGTATTGTAAATAGCATAGAGATGTATTAAGAACTGTTCACAAAGAAGTCACTTTTAACACTAGAACCGCCAGAGGTCGCTGTATACCTAAAAGCGCCAGCGGGTAAATTTTACCCACGCACATGGCAACTGTATTTATATGGCTAAAGAACATATTATTTCACTGTATTATGCTACTGTCTTCACAAAGAAGTGTCTAGAGTCATGAAATTATTGTGTCTAGTCATCAACTATATTTTTATCCTGATGTTTTATGTTCAAGACTTTTTATTGCAGGCTACACTAATCCATAATGGTCAGTAGCCTAAGCTAAAAAAAAAAGTCTGCACTGACAACGCAAATTAGAAGGTAGTAGCCTAAATATTTTGGTGGTTTAATATTATAATACAATGTCATTAATCAATACATTAAGATAACCCATGCTATGAATGACTAAAACAGCCTATAGACAATAATGAGCAATAATAATTCACCACACTGCATAGGATGATGCGATGAAAAATTCAAGCGCACAGCTTCACCTACATATTTATTAATTTGTTTAGTTATATCATTTATAATTTGAATAAGAGAACAACAGCATTGAACTTTGGGTAATCAAAAAAATGGTTTTATTCATTACATCATATAGACCTGATTTTTTTCTTCTTCAGGAAACGGCCAGACTAGAATAGCAACACAGTAGCGAACAATAAACGATATGGCAAGACAAAAGTTAAATAATTAAACCAAAGTTTGACCAATTAGAGTAACCTGAGGTTAAAACATGTAAATATAATATCTGGATCACTGTCAGATGAGCCGTCAGATGCTGAGCCGACCCGGGACGCATAACTTACCATGAGACTCTCCATCACTCATGGCATTTAGTGTTTCTAACTAAACTTCTAGCTTCTGCTTCCACAAATCGCCTTTTTTTGTTGTTGTAATTTTGACTTTATTTATGAAACTCATAACCGCTAAATCAGTGAGTGAAAGGCGTTGCCTAGAAATGTACTATGTTAAAACATAAGCGGCAAGAAAATGACAGCACGAAAATACATGCATAGCGGGTAAATTTGACCCGCTGGCGCTTATAGGTTTAAATGCCCCGTTTTTTGATCTTTTTTTTTCTAAATAATTTTTAACAACATTGGATTGTAAATTTCATAATTTTAGTAAAAGTCAATGACTGGGAGACTTGAATGTTTTATTTTATATCTGTTATGTACATTTGAAAAACAGCCACGGGTAAAATTTACCCTGGCGGTTCTAGTGTTAAATTAAGCAGGTTTTCAGTGGTCAATGCTGTGAATTCACTCCTGATCGCACAGATTCCTATTGGAATGGCTGTATTTTGGATGCAAAATTTTGCACAGCAACGGTAAATGTGACTACAACTTAAAGAAGTAAAAACCACTAAAAACAAAAATCCCAAGTTAGGCGCTAACATCCCTGTGACCCTACATAAGACAAGCGGTTGAAAAATGGATGGATGTATATCCAGTGTAATTATATAAGGAATTTGTTGGCAAATGTAAGGTACATGTTGGTGGATATTATACATTAATTATATATTTTACCCTGCTGCCACAGTGTAAACTGGCCCCAGTCTCCTGTCTCTCTCAGATATTCATCTTCAGGCAAGAACTGCCCACTGTTGCTGTCTAACACTGACAGTGCTTCATCTCTAATGGTCAACCAGTTACGTTCCAACATCTGTAAAGACATATATGAACACAATGAAAGCAAAGCAGAGAGATAAGCATACAAAGAGCACTTCCTTCACTGTTAAAGTGATGAATAATTAAGGGAAGGTTCAATTACATAGGGGCAGTTGTGGCCTAATGGTTAGGGAGTCAGACTAGTAACATGCAGGTTCGATTTTCAATACCGACAGGAAATGTAGGTGGGGACAGAGCTCTCTTCCACACTCAAGAAGCATGCCAAACAATGTGTAATGGATCTCCACTGGGTACTTCAGGAGAAGATGCTGTTTATGTTCATTTTAAATAGTGTTTATCGATATGAATGTTTTTGGCTTAATTTAACTTGAAATAGCGATTATGTGCATTATAATTGTGAAGTTACATACAGTATACGATTGGAACAGAACTGGGGTGGGGAGCTTTTAATGCATTAAGTGTAAAGAAGTTAAACTTTTAAAGACGTGTCTCGAGACACTGCACTTCTGATTTAAACAGTGTAGACAGCTGTTGCCGTGCAGTTCAGTTCAGGAAGTGCTGATTAACAGTAAGACAAAACTATTTAACACATGCTATTTGATGGTTAACACAAATAACACAATGTGAAAAACACAATATTTTTAAATTTTTTGAAGAATGTGTCAAAATATCAAAAGACCCCTCACTCAAACCTCATTTAGACCCCTTTGACTTTCTTTGCAAGTAAAGTTGTAGTAATTGTATGATATACAGTTGTGCACATAAGTTTACATACCCCTTGCAGAATATGCAAAATGTTTATTTTAGCAAAATAAAAGGGATCATGAAAATTGCATGTTATTTTTATATTTAGTACAGTCTTGAATAAGCTATTTCACATAACAGAGGTTTATATATACTCCACAAGACAAAATAATAACTGAATTTGTAAAAATGACCCCGTTCAAAAGTTTACATACCCTCAAATCAATAATGTGTGTAATTTCTTGGATGATCCACGACTGTTTTTATGTTTTGTGATAGTTGTTCATGAGTCCCGTGTTGGTCCTGAGCAGTTCAACTGCCTGTTGTTCTTCTGAAAAATCCTCCAGCTCCTGCACATTCTTTGGTTTTCCAGCATCTTCTGCATATCTGAACCCTTTCCAGCAGTGACTGTATGATTTTGAGATCCATCTTTTCACTCTGAGGACAATTGAGGGACTCATACATAACAACTACAAAGAGAAGGGTCTGGCTGCAGCCTTGCACTTGCACTCTCAGACTTGCATTCTCAGGCTTGCACTCTCAGACCCTTGCGCTTCCGCTAGCGAAGTCACTTGCAGTCTTTTTAATTTTTTTATTTTGTTCTATTTATTGATTACTTTTTGTTTGAATCTCTCAACATTTTACAACAGAATGTGGCATAATAACGGATGATAAAGACAATTCAGTAGCCTATATGTCTTGTTGTTGACTCAAAGTATATACAGAACAGCAAATATGAACGTGCATTATGAAATGCATTAAGTGATTTTAAAAGGATCAACTCCGTACAGGCAAGTAGACGAGCCCAGAACGCAATGCATTAAATTGCACGTTAAAATTTTTTCTCCCATAGAAAATCATTATAAATGAAACACGTAGTGTAGCTTAATGGACAAAGACAATGGTATAAAAGAGCTGTAGACAGTTATATTCTATATGGAAAAACGCTTTGGCTCACCTGCTCACCTTGGCTCACCTGCTTGCCTGTATATTAGTTATGTAGGCTATATTTTAATTATCATCTTAGTCCATTATGCCACATTATGCCACATTTTGCGTTGTGGGAGGAAAATACTATATACATATTCATTATATTAATAAACTGTATATTGAATTTGATATTTTAATAGCATTAATACATTAAGCCATGTTAAGTGTTTATGTTTTTCTACAGGAGGAAAATGCTTAGCAAGAGATTTTGCGCATTGTGTTCATATTCTGCTGTTCTGTGGCCACGGATTTGCGGGTCTTGTCTTTTTCTCCTACAGATGGCTTACAGGACCCTGTACGTTATGGCCAAAACAAAAATTGACCATAGTTTGATCTGATTTTGTGTACTGATTTCAATCTTTTATAATAAAAATATGTACACACATGGATAACAGTATACTTATTGAACACTATTTTGACATTTATTCAGAAAAAAAAAAAATATATATATATTTTTTTATTATTTAAAAAAAGTCACTTGCGCCTTTTTGGCACCAATGTTTTATTCAATTTCGTGTATAAAAAACATGGGCGTATCTGCTGACAATATGAACAAAACATTACATTAATGAGTTTAAAAGAAATAATCCATTGTGATAAAATAAAATATCACATAAAAAAGCTCTTACATCAAATTAGTTAATTGAACGTGATTAATTTTACTGCAATAGTAATCTCAGTCACTTAACTATTTGGTCAAATGGTTGATTGAAAAGCCTTTACAGATGCCTTCCTTAGTGAAAAATAAATAGGCTATACAAAAATGTATTTGAAATACTTTTATTTCATGCTATACTACAAATACATTTACATATTATTTACATATCACTAAACTGGTATACTTAAAGTTTGATAAATTGGAACAACTAATTTTGTATTTAATGCACTTTAATTGTAAGAAAGTAGTGCTGAGGTCTAACTAAAGATATACTGAAGTATATTTTATTGTGCTAAAAGTGAAACTATTGCAAGTATACTTCAGGTACAATTTAAATATCATTTAGCATTTAAAGACCGATATAGCATTTTTATAGCATTTAAAGATAGATATTATTCGAAGATCATACAGTCCTCATCAATAGTGACATTAAAACACATTTTAGGCTTAATATTGAGAAATGTGCATTGTGCATAAGTTGTACTCCAAATAAAGTTTAATTATAATTTTTATATCAGTACGTTTCGAGTAATATGTCGGTAAACAGACAATAAATAAAGTAAATAAAATGTTAATAGATTTGAACTAGTATGAATGTGTGTCGTCATGAAAGTTTCAGATGGAATTGTGAATTGTACATGAAATAGTAGTCTACTCTGACTGGCTGACTTGTAAAGCTTGGTGTCCACATAAGACTGTGGGATACTGCCATTTGCGCAGCGTGAGTAAGTCTTTCTTTTTCACAGCAGTGATCCCAGATGGATATCTGTGTAACGTTTTATTCACTGCATTTCTTGTATCCTTTCCCCAGTCATATCCTTTGTATGCTTTCCCCAGCCATCTCCTTTGTCTCTGTCTGTCTGTCCCTTCTCTGCATTCTCTCTCTTGTGGCTAAGCAGTAACTGAGTGCCTATATGATAACACCCATAGTAAATAATAATAATAATAATAATAAATAAATAAAGTAATATATTTAAAATACATTTATGTCATACTAAGTATAGTTCAACTCTAATATATTTACTGACACATTGCTCAAGACTTACTGGTATAAAAATGATAATTAAACTTTGTTTGGACTACTACTTGTGCACTATGCACATTTCTCAATATTCAGGGTTTCTACAGACATGAACAAGTTAAATTTAAGACGTTTTAAGACCTTTTTAATACCACCTTATATGAAATTTAAGACCTAAACCTGTAATGGAAATACACATTTTATTACATACA